TGTTCTTCGTCCCTCTTTGTCACTTTATGGTCATCCCCTTGAATACAAAGATTCCGCGAGGCTTTTGGGGTTATTCCTTGACACTCGTTTGTCTTGGTCTCCCCATATCTCTTACCTCCGTGTTGAGTGCTCTAAGGCCCTTACCCTCCTTCGGGTCTTGTCCCATACTTCTTGGGGGGCAGATAGGCGCACTCTCCTTGCTTTACATTCCTCTCTCGTCCTGTCTAAGCTCGATTATGGTTGCCCTGCTTACTCGTCTGCTTCTCCTTCTACTCTTCGCCGTCTTGATGCTTTGCACCATACTGGGTTGCGCCTCAGTTCTGGTGCCTTTCGTTCGACTCCCGTCCTTAGCTTGTATGTTGACACTGGCTTCCTGTCTCTCCAGGACCGCCGTGATCGCTACTGTCTTCGCTATCTTGCGCGGTCCTTGCAACATCCTTCCTCTCGCCTCTGTCGTGCTTTAACTTTTACCCCTCCTGCGGTTCCTGTTCTTCTTCACCACCTCCCTCTTTCTGTCCGGTTATCTAGCCTGCAGGATTCTCTTTCCGTTCGTATTTCTGATGTTTCTCCTCGTGTTGTTCCTTCTTTGCCCCCGTGGAGGGTCCCTCTTCCACGGTTTTGTACATCCTTGACCCGTATCACTAAAGCTTTTACCCCTCCTACGGTTCTAAAACGCCTTTTCCTCGAGCACTTTTCTTCTCACTCCCGCTCCGTTTCTGTCTTCACCGATGGGTCTAAGTCAGCGGACGGTGTTGGCTACTCTGTTGTTTTTCCTGATCGCACTTATATGTGTCGCTTGCCTCCGGAGACTAGCATCTTTACAGCGGAACTTTATGCTATTCTCTATGCTCTTCGTCTCCTACTTTCTCGTTGTCAGTCTTCCTTTGTAGTTGTTGTTGACTCTTGTAGTGCCCTCATGGCTCTCGGGTCCTTTAATCCAGTTCATCCAGTGGTTGTCGAGATCCAGCATTGGCTGTTTCTCGTTCACAGTAAATTTAAGTCGGTTGAGTTTTGTTGGGTTCCCAGCCATATTGGTGTGTCTTTAAATGAGCGTGCGGATGCTGCCGCCAAGGAAGCTGTCCGCTCTTGTCCCATCTCTCGTAAGGGCATTCTGTATTCCGACTTTTACCCGGTTATCCATTCCTCAGTCCTTACCCGTTGGCAGGCGTCGTGGTTGTCTGTTACTGGTAACAAGCTGCGTACTCTTAAATGTTGTGTTTCCTCGTGGCAGTCCTCCTTCCACCGTAACCGGCGGTGGGAAACAGCTCTGGCGAGGTTACGTATTGGCCATACTCACTTAACCCATGGTCACTTGATGGAGCGCCGCCCTGCTCCTTATTGTCCTAGTTGCATTGTCCCTCTTACGGTCGTGCATGTCCTTCTTGAATGTCCTGACTTCCAGGACGAGCGTATGTCTTGCTTTCCGACCGCCCCTCGCGGTCACCTGTCCCTCGATAGAATTCTTGGTGACTCGGATACTTTTGATATCGTTCGCCTTATGCGTTTTTGTTCTCGTATTGGCATCCTTGGTGATATTTAGCGCCCTCTGATTATTTTGCATCTTTGATGGTGCTACATAGCCTTCCCGGTTTGGTGCCTTCTTTTGATAATTACTTACTTACTTCTCGTCACAGACGTGACATCTATATAGATGTATATAAAAATCTGCTCAGATGTGAATGGAACGTTGTGTGAAAATTTCAAAGCAATCGACGAAGAACTTTCGGAGATTAGCGATTTTGAACAAACGAACATTTACATTTTTATTTATATAGATGTACAAAAAGTTACATTGGGTTTATGAGAGTTCATAGCATGATGTGTTTACATTCTTGTAAAACCACTAGTACGCACAGCGTTTCGGGCAGGTCCTTAATCTAACAGATAATTTTAAGTAGGTAAATTCTATCAGAATTAATAAAATAACAGATACATTGCAAGAAAAAAGAAAAATGAGATGGGAGAGATTAGTAGGTATATTAAAGCACATAGGTAGCTCTGGTTGCATTGACAGCTTGATTGGTAATTTAGACAAGATTAATAGGCACCATACAGCAAATTGATAGCGCATATAAGAAGACAGCAATGATCACAATTGTAAAGTTGTTTGGATTAGGTACATAAAGATTGGGTAGCACTAGATACAGTGCAATTTTAAAGCACAAGGTAGGACACTATGAAGATGAAATTGGGTACTTTTTGGTTTTGTTTTTGAATGAGGCAAAAGCTGGACAGCTTTTCAATTCATTAGGGAGTGAGTTCCATAGACTGGGTCCCTTTATTTGCATAGTGTTCTTACACAGATTAAGTTTGTCTCTGGGATATCAAATAGATATTTATTTCCAGTATGATGATAATGGGTCCTATTACATCTGTCCAGGGAGAGTTTCAGAGCAGGATTTGCATTTAAGAACAGGGTTTAATTGTAACTGACACAAGAGAATGTGTGGAGTGAGTTTATGTTTAGCATGTTAAGGGATTTAAACAAGGGGGCTGAGTGTTGTCTGAAAGCAGAGTTTGTTATCATTCTGACAGCAGATTTTTGCTGGGTGATGATTGTTGCCAACAACCGACTGCTGTAACCAAGACTACTAAATAAATATGAAAACCCAGTAAACACTGTGTATTTAATCTACCCAACAACGTAACCTAATCGTACGTTACATTCTCTTCAGACTTTCTCACAAGTGACGCCTTAAGACCTTTGCACATGACATGCTCATGTGATGACGTAATTTTTGCACACTGCCCGTCCCATAGAGTCGTCCTCTCACCCCCAAGTTTTATCAAAGATGCTAAGTATCTCACTTAGTCACATTTAATGACGGTTGCTTGCATTATTTAATTTCCTTGACTTCTCACTATGGCCAGGTGGGGAATAACTTACTGTGGAGGTAGTTACTGTGAACTTACTCACAACTTACTGTGAACCCCATGAGACTACCTGGGGGTTCATAACAAGGGGACCAAGGGAATATCACTACAGACCAAGAGAGCGGTAGAGTTTAGGCTCCCAGCAAAAGTTGGAGAGAAAGGAATAACTGCGGACGAGACGAGGACGAGCACCAGGCATTGGCTCCTGGAGACGGACACAAAGCGACGAAAACCGAGAGGTCAGACGTTGGAGTTCAAGAAAATTAGAATAAAAGCTACGAATATTCCATTGAAGAATAGACATTCAAAAACGAAGTCAAAGATGAATACAGGATACTAGGGAGGATCAGGCTCATGTTCATTGAAATCAGGGAGTAAATCATAGCTACTTTCATAGGTAAAGCAAGCAAAGTCGAATGAGTCGAGATAGCAGGAGGAGCGGACGCAGTCAGGCTGACAGAGTCCGGAGTGGCAGGAGGCCTCGGAGATGGACGTTCGAAGGAATGGGGAAGGACAGAAATAGTGAAATGCAATTTAGCAAACACAGCATCATAGGGATAATCAATAGCCACGGGACTCTCCATAGCGGGGTCAGTCGATTCCGTCACAGAGATGGGAGGAGAGGCAGGGACAGAGCTGGAGGTGGACAGCAAGAGGTCGACGGACACCTTCTTACCAGCTGGGGAGGAAGGAGAGAAGCCAGGCTTACTGATCTGACTGCGAGACACAGGCATGCCAACAGCAGTGTTCTGTGCGACAGCCTCCACAGTCTCAGCAAGAGAGGAAGAACGAGAGCAGACAACACGAAGACGACCGGAAGGAGGATGGACATCGGAGGGGCTGAGAAGAAAGACGGGTTGGGAAGGGAAGGCCACAGAAAATAAGGAATAGGGAGAAGGCGGAGAGGTAACAGTGAACAGCAGGAGAAGACTGGGTGGGAAGGGTGGAAACGCCAGACGGTGAGTTGTGAGCAGGAGCCTCGGGGTCAGAATGGCGACGGAAGACGGGGAGCTGGTGGAGGTACTGGGGGTCGAAGGCCTGGAAACGGTTGTGAAATTGAGAAAGGGGTGAAGGGTGGGGAGAAGTGTGAGGCAACACACGAGAGTAAGTCATGTCGGGTAAAGAGTTAAGGCGTCGAACTTGGCGTCTTGCCTCGGGGAAAGAAATCTGATCACGATGTTTTAAATTGAGAATGGCTTCCTCAAATTTGTTGTATATGCATGAGCGGGAGAAGGCAGGGTGGGCGTCACCGCCCAACCCGTTCTCGCACTTTCTTATAGTCAATATTGACTTATTAAATAAGTGCATATGTGACATACTAATTTATTGTGAATATTTTAGTTTACCTTGAAAAGCTTCATAGTAAACACCGACCTTACCTAACCTTCTTAGTATGTTAAGATAAGCATCTTATTGCTTCTTAATTACAATTATTACTTAACCTATTATAGGTATAGGTTAATTATTACTTAACCTATTATAGGTATAGGTTAATTATTACTTAACCTATTATAGGTATAGGTTAAGTAATAATTGTAACTACGAAGCAATAAGATGCTTATCTTAACATACTAAGAAGGTTAGGTAAAGTCGGTGTTTTCTATGAAGCTTTTCAAGGTAAACTAAAATATTCACAATAAATTAGTATGTCACATATGCACTTATTTAATAAGTCAATATTGACTATAAGAAAGTGCGAGAACGGGTTGTACCGCCACTGATGGAGCGAGGCTGGGGAGAAGAGCACTCTGTCTTAAAAAAGGTGTGATGAAATTTCGATGAGTGTTTTTTGCACCCTTCATTTCTTGCAGGTAACTTCTGCCATTGCCCGAAACGCTGTGCGTACTAGTGGCTTTAGGTATTGTATGTACTAACTAATAAATAATAAATAAATAAATTTTTATTCAGGTAAGGTACATACAAGGTAAGATACAAAGTTGATGGATTTATAGATAGAGCTAGTACATACAATGCCTAAAGCCACTAGTACGCAAAGCGTTTCGGGCAGGAAACTCTGTCTATAAATCCAACATTATGTTTGCAACTCAGCTTCTATGTATGTACTTTTACGTGAATAAACATTTTGATTTTTGTTTTGAGGTATTTATATAGGACATGTGTTTCAGGCCGGTGGCGGGCAGCAAGTCGGAGCGACGGGGCAAGAACGCTGCCAGACACATCAACGCCGAGGTGGTGCTCCTGTGTGACATGATCTACCAGGAGGGTCACCAGTACGACAACGGCACCGCCGTCATCTCCTTCGGCGACCTCTTCCAGGTGAGGCAGCCAGGTGGTACTCACCTAGTTGTGATTGCAAGGTGAGTACTAAAGAGTCACATCTTCGGCTCTTTGGTCCAGCCTCTTAACTGTCAATCAACTAGGGTACAGGTTCCGGAGTCTATTGAGCTGTATCATATCTACATTTGAAACTGTGTATGGAGTCAGCCTCCACCACATCACTGCCTAATGCATTCCATTTGTTAACTATGACACTGAAAATGTTATTTCTAATATCTCTGTGGCTCATCTGGGTACTCAGTTTCCACCTGTGTCCCCTTTGTTCGTGTTCCACTCATGCTAAATGGTTTGTCTTTGTAAATTTCTCTGTCTATCTATTCCTATGAGAATTTTGTAGGTGGTGATCATGTCTCCCCTTACTCTTCTGTCTTCTAGGGACGTGAGGTTTAGCTCCCGTAGACTTTCTTTGTAGCTTATACCTCTCAGTTCTGGGACTAGTCTGGTGGCATACCTCTGAAACTTCAACTTTGTCTTGCGTTTAACTAGGTATGGAGTCAAGGCTGGAGCTGCATACTCCAGGATTGATCTGACATGTGTGATGTACAAGGTTCTGAATTATTCCTAACACAAGTTTCTAAAGGCAATTCTTATGTTGGTCAATCTAACATATTGGTGTGTGATATCAACCCCCAGATCCTTCTATTTGACTTTTGAAGGATTTCACCTCCCAGATGATACCTTGTGTTCAGCCTCCTGCTCCCTTCGCCTAGTTTCATTACTTCACACTTTCCTGAGTGTAAAGTAGCCATTTTTCGGACATTCCTCCAGTTTGTCTAGGTCATCCTGTAGTTTGTCGATCTTCATCCGTCTTGATTCTTCTCATAATTTTTGCATCATCAGCAAACATTGAGAGGAACGAGTCTATAACCTCCGGAAGATCGTTTACATATATTAAAAACAGGATGGGTCCAAGTACAGAGCTCTGTGGGACTCCGCTGGTGACATCTCGCCACTCTGATGTTGTCTCCTCCCTCACCGTTACTCGCTGTTTCCTGTTGGCAGTGGCGATGCAGGCAGGTGGTCGAGGCAGGCAGGTGGTCGAGGTAGGCAGGTGGTCGAGGCGGGCAGGTGGTCGAGGTAGGCAGGTGGTCGAGGCGGGCAGGTGGTCGAGGCAGGCAGGTGGTCGAGGCAGGCAGGTGGTCGAGGCAGGCAGGTGGTCGAGGTGGGCAGGTGGTCGAGGCTGCCAGGTGGTCGAGGCAGGCAGGTGGTCGAGGTAGGCAGGTGGTCGAGGTAGGCAGGTGGTCAAGGCGGGCAGGTGGTCGAGGTAGGCAGGTGGTCGAGGCGGGCAGGTGGTCGAGGCGGGCAGGTGGTCGAGGTGGGCAGGTGGTCGAGGTAGGCAGGTGGTCGAGGCGGGCAGGTGGTCGAGGCAGGCAGGTGGTCGAGGCGGGCAGGTGGTCGAGGTAGGCAGGTGGTCGAGGTAGGCAGGTGGTCGAGGTAGGCAGGTGGTCGAGGTTGGCAGGTGGTCGAGGTAGGCAGGTGGTCGAGGTAGGCAGGTGGTCGAGGTAGGCAGGTGGTCGAGGTAGGCAGGTGGTCGAGGCAGGCAGGTGGTCGAGACAGCCAGGTGGTCGAGGCAGGCAGGTGGTCGAGGCAGCCAGGTGGTCGAGGCAGGCAGGTGGTCGAGGCAGCCAGGTGGTCGAGGCAGGCAGGTGGTCGAGGCAGGCAGGTGGTCGAGACAGCCAGGTGGTCGAGGCAGGCAGGTGGCCAAGGCAGCCAGGTGGTCGAGGCAGGCAGGTGGTCGAGACAGCCAGGTGGTCGAGGCAGCCAGGTGGTCGAGGCAGGCAGGTGGTCGAGACAGCCAGGTGGTCGAGGCAGGCAGGTGGTCAAGGCAGCCAGGTGGTCGAGGCAGGCAGATGGTCGAGGCGGGCAGGTGGTCGAGGCACCAGGGGGTCGAGGCAGGCAGGTGGTCGAGACAGCCAGGTGGTCGAGGCAGGCAGGTGGTCGAGGCAGGCAGGTGGTCGAGGCAGGCAGGTGGTCGAGGCAGCCAGGTGGTCGAGGTAGCCAGGTGGTCGAGGCAGACAGGTGGTCGTGGCAGGCAGGTCCAGGCAGCCAGGTGGTCGAGGCAGCCAGGTGGTCGAGACAGGCAGGTGGTTGAGGCAGCCAGGTGGTCGAGGCAGGCAGGTGGTTGAGGCAGCCAGGTGGTCGAGGCAGGCAGGTGGTTGAGGCAGGCAGATGGTCGAGGCAGGCAGGTGGTCGAGGAAGGCAGGTGGTCGTGGCAGCCAGGTGGTCGAGGCAGGCAGGTGGTCGTGGCAGGCAGGTCCAGGCAGCCAGGTGGTCGAGGCAGCCAGGTGGTCGAGACAGGCAGATGGTCGAGGCAGGCAGATGGTCGAGGCAGGCAGGTGGTCGAGGAAGGCAGGTGGTTGAGGCAGCCAAGTGGTCGAGGCAGCCAAGTGGTCGAGGCAGGCAGGTGATTGAGACAGGCAGATGGTCGAGGCAGGCAGGTGGTCGAGGAAGGCAGGTGGTCGTGGCAGCCAGGTGGTCGAGGCAGCCAGGTGGTCGAGGCAGGCAGGTGGTCGAGGCAGCCAGGTGGTTGAGGCAGGCAGGTGGTTGAGGCAGGCAGATGGTCGAGGCAGGCAGGTGGTCGAGGAAGGCAGGTGGTCGTGGCAGCCAGGTGGTCGAGGCAGCCAGGTGGTCGAGGCAGCCAGGTGGTCGAGGCAGCCAGGTGGTCGAGGCAGGCATGTCGGAAAATCCGACACCATTTAATAATCATGCAGATAATAGCTGTATTGTATAAACAAGTTAACCCATAGAAAACGTAACTTGTAGTGGAATTACCGTCTATAGAAAACGGGATATCATTACCACATACTATTATAATTCACCAGCTATTCTGCTGGGAATTATTCTTAAATACATTAGTCTTTGGACATTACCATCATAAAAACATCTCATATAAATTAACTTAATTATCAATATTAAAGTAGAGTAAATGTGACCCTTCTATCACTTATTGACATCTGGACAATGTAAGCTAGGCGTCAGGGTGAGGGAGGGCAGCCATTGTTTATACGGAGACCAGAGGCACGGGAGCAAATTCGGCTCCTGTTAATTTTACTTGGACGTAGTGTTATGGAAACCAAAGGTGTACCATTATCAACACGCTGTCAACAAATCAAGTTAAGTGTTCTTTCCGAAACCCGTTTATTTTCATTTATGGCCATTAATGTCATTATATAGGGTGATCCGGTTAGAGCACGTGGTAGCCTCAAACTAAAGGTAATTAAGCCAGGTCTTCATTGTTCCATGTATAGTGTTTCTCTGATATACCCGTCATATATAGGATTCTGGCTTTACAGCTAGCGCCCTTTTGACAGGTCAAGACGAGGAAGCAAAGCTTTGTACATCAGTTACCAGGGTGATGGAAGCTACCTCAAAGAGGAAAAATGTGGTGTCTACAACCTAGTTATACCTGGTGGATTAAAGCTTGCTGTACAAATAAGATAAGGAACCTTTTCAATGTATGTAGTTAATACTGTAGTTAGATTGGCTGCATATATATATAAACTATTAAACCCCCCCTAATGTGTAGAGGATCGATTTGTGAGATTAAGAGATTATTGCAGAAATACAGTCCACTTATTATACAAATTGCTATCGAAGTATATAAATTAACGTAAATATAAATTCATATAAATTAAATAAATATAAATCTCACAGGTCGGTTCCCACATTATTTGGTCCTTCGAACCGGATTATTATTTGGTCATCTTCGAACCGGATGACGGATTATTTGATCCTTTGAACCCATATTTGGTCATCTTCGAACCGGATGACGGATTATTTGATCCTTTGAACCCATATTTGGTCATCTTAGTACCGGATGAACCAGTTAACCAGTGGATTCATTAAATAAACTAGTGCAGTGTGATTTAAACAAAACAGCAGTCAAAGGCGGCAGCGTTGTTTCGAGCGAGTTCACGAGCCCCGCTCAGCCCAGTTAAGCCTTAGTCAGCGGTTTCATGTACACCCACAGATTTGGTGGCGTGTTATTCTGTGAAATGACAGCGCTAATATAGAAGCCAGCCAAATTAGTGACTGTGTCGCGAGATTGTTCACGGATTTCGTGGTGTTAAATTTCGCGAGAGATTATCTACGAATTTTGTGGACTTTATTTCGCGAGGTCACTAATAATATTTAATACTTCTTGATAATATTAGAAGTTTCATAGAGGCTAATTAAGAGGCTATTATCAATAATTGTGTATATTATTTCTCCAAAATAGAGAATCATTTAATATATATTGCACTAGTGATCACAGTATAATATTTACTAATTGCCAACCCACAACAGGGTAGGATATGACTAGTTGAACTATTATTGTTCATCCTAGTCCCATTATTACTATAGTCAGTTGTACTATATTGAACAACCTAACACCATTAATGAATGGTGCAGACCCTATTTTGGGTGTAATTTTTATCAACTCGAGTTGAGTTGTATATATAATAATTTACTTATGATCATTACACCTTTGAGTGATTAATTAGTGTCTCTACCATCCTAGGGTGATATAGAAGAGCTAACCTAAAGGTACTTCCAGTGACACTGGTTTATCACTCAAATCATTAGTGTGTATAATTGTATATATATAATGTGTATTAATTTTAAGTGCTAACCTCTAGTAGAGGTAGGATTATTGCCTAGTAAGTGCAGAATTTACCCTAGGCTACCATTAGTGTTTGTTCAGTATTATGAGCAGCCCAAGTACAAGTCCCACAAGGCTTCACCAACTAGCCAGTATGGATAATGCAGAGAGAATGAAAAGAACCCTTGCAGGTCTTAAAGGCCACTTAACAAGACAGATCAAGAAATGTGAAGATTTGTCACAACAATCTCAAGTTGATTATGCTGACCTGGAAAGCTATTATCAAGCAGCTGCAGGTAAATTTGAGCAAATCAAATGTCAAATAGCAACATATGTGGCTGAACTTGCCAACACCAATTTATCAGAAACAGAAACAGACGACATTATGGTTGATCTT